CAATCTCAACCACAGTTCCAATCTCAACTACAGCCCCAACACCATCCCTTCTCCCTCCCCGCACCACCCGCAGTAGACAGACTAAACGTTCTAACCCTTCTTCCCTACAGCACACTCACCTCCACCTACCTTTACCTTTATTCCTCAGACACCAGTCTCCTCTTCCCCCCACATAAGAAAATCTTTGTCCCACAAAACTCTCCAACCAACTCCACTACAGAAACTAGAGAAGACATTCAAAGTTATATCCCATAACTCAAGCTCCCTCCACACCATGAAATGATTGCAGATATCCATACCCCTCCTATTCATATTCCCCCTACACCCCTTCCTCCTACTCCCTCTCAGCACAACCTAACCCCCTCAATTCCGTCCACTACCGATATCCATCCTCCCGATACCCGTCCTCCTGATATCCATCCCCCTCTTACTCATAGCACCCCTACACCCCTTCCTCCTAATCCCTCCCAAGACAACACATCCCCTTCAACTCCAACTATCCATCCTCCTAACACTAATACTCCCCCCCACACCACTTCCACCTACTCCCTCCCAATACAACCCACCCCCTTCAACCCCAACTATACGCACATTCTCCCTCCCTCCATCCCCTCTATCCTTTCAACTCCCTCCCGGATACACACGGGAATCACTCATGTCACAACAGATTCCCTACCTCCTGATATCCTTCCTTTACACCCCCTATCTCCTCCCCCCCAAATTCCCCAACACATACCGACGTTTTCACTCATAAAATAACTAAGATATAGCTCTCCTACATTGGAATATTCGCGGTTTCCGTTCTCACAGACCAGACCTACATCATATCCTTGCTTCTTATAATCTATCGATTATCTGCCTCCAAGAGACTTTCCTCACACATCCTCCTATTTCAATTCCTAATTAACATTTCATCTCTTCCCTACACTCCCTTTATGTCTCGTCTATACGTATCCATCATAAAACACCTTATGCCATACCTCCCATACAAACTACTGTCCCGTTCACAGTTATTCGCATCTTCGCCGTTGGATCACAGTGATTTCAGTCTACTTCCCATCCCATCCCATTGACTTTGTTGTCTTTGAAACTCTAATTTCCCAACTCTAACCACCTTTCCTCGTAGTTGGTGATTTCAACTGTCGCCACACTCTGTGGGGTGACTCTACCATTCCGAGGCCGATCTCTAGAACGCTTCCTCTCCACAAATAACATAATTATTCTTAATTCAGATCGCCCCACACACTTTGACATGCGCACACAATCCTTTTCATGCCTTGATCTCTCTCTGTGCTCCCCTACTCTTCATGTAGATTTCCATTGGTCAGTTCTAGACCACTTCCCCTATAGTGACCACTTCCCAGTACTCCTTTCTCCTACTTCATATGTACCACTTCCTAATCCCCCACGCTGGTGCTTTGATGGAGCTGACTGGCGTCTTTTCACTTCACTTTCTACTATACCTATCCCTCCACCCCCCTTACCGCCTATTTCAGATATGCTACAATGTTTTACAACCACGATCCTAAGAGCTGCCTATACAGCCATTCCTCAAACTTCAAGACCTTATACCTCTAAATGTGTTCCATGGTGGAATTCTGATTGCACTTCACTTAAAACGAGCAGCCTGGAACAGCTATCGCTACAAACGAGGCACCCCTCACCAGCTATCAGGCCTTATTTCCTTTAAAAGAGCATCTGCCCATCTTTGCCGTACAATTAAAAACAGCAAAACAAATAGCTGGCAAAATTATGTTTCCTCAATTACATCTACATCTACTTCAGCTGTTTGGCGACGGATCCATAAATTATCAGGCAAACATCAACATAAATTATCAGGCAACTATTTCAGCCAGGTCAGTAGTGGCTCTCACCTTTCCCCACACTTTTCTTCCATTAAAACCATTAAGGAACACACCCCTATTACCTTCACCCTATCCTCTGATGAGTCCTATAATGCTCCTTTTTCTTCTTCTGAACTCAACGCTGCATTACAGTCGTGCCGCAACACTCATGAAGGCCCTGATGGTATTCACTATCGTATGCTCCGACACCTCCCATCTTCCTCTCTATACTTCCTTTTAACTATTTTCAGCCACATATGGACGTCAGGAAATGTTCCTTCTCATTGGCGAGATGCTCTTATCCTACCTTTCTTAAAACCCAATAAATCAGGTACCCTACCCCAAGATTACCGCCCCATAGCTCTAACTAGCTGCTTGTGCAAACTACTAGAACGAATGGTTAACTTTCCGTTTATGTGGTAAAAAGTCTCATAATCTCCTTTCCCCTTCCCAGTTTGGTTTCCGACGTGCCCGAAGTACAGCAGACCCACTTGCCCATTTTGAGACATACATTACATCGGCATTTGCATGCCATGAATCCGTATTAGCCATATTCTTTGATCTAGAAAAAGCATATGACACCACATGGCGATACCATATCCTCCAACAATTGTCCTCCCTAGGTTTACGTGGAAACATGGGTGTCTTCATAAAATCTTTCCTTTCTAAACGTACTTTCCAGGTCAAGATTGCCTCTTCCACTTCATCATCCTTTCCTCAATTCGAAGGCGTCCCACAAGGAAGTGTGCTCAGTACCACTTTATTCCTTCTTGCTGTAAATGACATAGTCTCAGTCCTACCACCAGGAGACCGAGCATCACTATATGTTGATGACTTAACCATCTATGCATCTGGCACATTCATACCAGATCTCTGTCAATTCCTTCAGTCTGCAATAACATCAGTAACTTCTTGGGCCACCAACCATGGCTTTCGCTTCTCTACCTCTAAATCTTTCCCCATCCTTTTCTCTCGCTCACGTACGGTCCCCAAACCCCCACTCTTCTTATATAATGCTCCACTCCAATACCGTTCTTCTGGCAAATTTCTAGGCGTTATATTTGATTCCAAATTGTCCTGGCGAGACCATATCTTGTACACCAAAGAAAAAGCTCAACGTCGCCTCCGAATCTTACAAACTCTTTCACGTATCTCCTGGGGCTCAGATCGCAAAACTCTCCTCCATCTTCATGTTACCTTGATTCTCTCCACTCTAGATTATGGATGCCATATCTACTCCTCTGCCTCAACCTCTCCTCTTGCTCACCTTGATACAATCCACCACAGCGGTCTCCGCTTAGCCCTAGGCGCCTTCCGCTCCTCTTCAGTTGAGAACCTATATACTGAATCTAGCATACCGTCCCTCTCTCGACGTCGAGCCCTTCTCTCTCCAATGCTATGTTCGATTTCACCAATTTTCCATTACCAAACTAACTATTCCACAATCCTTGCCTCATACCTTTACCTCTTCTCCACGTTTACCAACTCCTGTCCCCGTACACATGGATACCCTTCTCCCATTCCCCCTTCCCTCATCTCCGACCTCTCCCACTGTCTGTCCATTTCATTCCTCCATGGCTTATACCAAACCCCTGTATTTGCTCCTTAGTTTTCCCGGACCCACCAAAATCAGATATTCCCCCTCTATCCTTCTCACTCATTTCCTTGACCATGTCTCCATTCATTCCTTCAGCATTCATGTTTACACTGACGGTTCCAAATCCATCTCAGGAGCTGGATTCGAAGTAACATTCCCAAATTGCACTTTCAAATCCACCCTCCCTCCTGAATCTAGCGTCCTTACTACAGAACTATGTGCACTCCTTTTTGCCTTAAGATGCATATACTCATCCACCTCTTCCTCTTTTACTGTTTTTACTGACTCCCGTAACTCTTTAACCCTCATAAAGTATATGCATTCGACCAATACCCTTGTCTGTAAGATCCAGAACTGGTTGTTCTATCTATCCACACGTCACAAATCTGTCAGATTTTGCTGGGTACCCAGCCATGTTGGAATCCCTGGCAATGAACAGGCAGATACTCTTGCACGATATGCCGCAATGTCCACATCACCTCAACAACGCTTCTCACATATTCCAGCTACGGATTATTACCCCCACTTTAAGACCTTCTTGTATACCCGATGGCAATCTTTTTGGTCAAGACTCCACAACAATAAATTACATACCGTAAAACCATCAATCTCCTCTTGGTCAGCTCCATTTCACAAAAACAGACGTTGGGAGACGGCCCTCGCACGATTACGTATTGGCCACACTCGCCTAACACATGCCTATCTGATGTCACGCTCAGACCCGCCCCTATGTCCTCTATGTAACGTCCCTCTTTCAGTCCCACACATTCTCTTGTCCTGTCCACGCTTTATTACAGCACGTACCTCTGCTTTTCCACACCTATCCTCCCTTCACCGACCTCCCAACATATCAGACATCTATACAGAATCCCACAGCTTCTGCCTCGACAACCTGTTCTAAAAGCATAAAAGCTTAAAAGTGTGTAAAGAAGAGGGGGGGGGGAGGAAGAGTGGGGTTAGGAGAAGGATAAGGAGGAGGAAAAGAATTTTAGGAGAAGAAGAAGGAGCCGGGGCTTCACCCAGCCTGCGGGGTAAACTTGAGGTAATAGTTGGAGTGGGTTTGTTGAAAGAGGAAAAGGATCGAGGGCCCAGCCCATCGGCAGACTCGCGTGTTCCACGCCGCGGCCGCACCTCGCGAGATCGTGCGGCGAGGCAAGGCCGCGACTCGTATTCCCCGCGCCACATTTTTCCCACAGGGCGTGGAGCCTCGCTAATGGCGAACACGGACCTCTCGGCTAATAACTGAGGGGGAGGGGAAAGAAGTTAGCAGGTTTTTTGGCCGGCCATCTGCGGTATGCTCGGAGCCACGGCCTCTCGACCGTGGCTCCAGAGCTGTCCCTCGGCTAACCATCACTGCTGAAGAGGATTGAAGCTCGAGTGGAGCCACACAGAGGCTGGCCCCTCCCGCCCGGGTCGAGAGGAGATTTCTCTTCCCTCGGCCGCAGGTCTTCCGGAGGGGCGCGGCTCGGCGGCTCACCACGATTTGGTTAACTCCATGGGCCGTGAACGCTGCTTTCGTTCGGCTCGCGACAAAACCCTTACGCTTAAAGATTTGTGGTCCTGGGCGATGAGTACTAGCAGCAAGCGCCACGTGTCGGAAACGAAACCAGTGGGATGTCAGGTTAAGGATAAGATATGGTATGAGTGAGGGTGGGGGTGAGGTGCGGTCACAAGCGTCAGGAGGACGAGGTGAAGGTATTTAAAAACGGGGGATAAGAGAGGCAGTACCTGGGGGAGATTACTTTTTAATGAGTTTAAATTAAGGTACAGGACACAATAAAACCAAACAATTAAACAAAGTGAACGGACAGCAAGAGAAAAAGAAACACGAAAAAAAACTGAAAAACAAAAACGAGTGGATAGGGGAAGGGAAATTTGAAAGGAATGAGTAGAAGGTTGGCTTCAAAGTGATGCGGCAAAACCCGAAAAACATGCATCATTCCCTGCCCCATGCCAAAGAAAGA